ATAACGTGTGTCTCTTATATTCTTTAGGGTTTTCAAAATCTATATATTAAAAAAACCTCTCTTCATAGGAAGATATTTTTTTAAATATAAAATAAATTAAAATAAAAAATTATTTTAATTAAAATAAAATCAATTATTTTTAAAACTAAAATTTATCTATTTATTTAATACTACCTTAACTTCCAACATAATTAGGGCACTACAGGGACCGCCAGGAATAAAAAAAATCAGGCTACTAATTATAATAAGAAACTATGTAGGCACCAAACATATGTCTTTATTAATAATTAATCATGAATTATTCCACTAAAAACTTCAATGACTGAACTTCCTTATTTATCTTTACTATTCCCACAATTCCACAACATAATAAAATAATGTTCCCCATGTTAGATGCTGTCATTTAAATAACTTACTGACAATTTATTTAAATCACAATATAACTTTAAGATTGTCGCTCAACTTATTTCATGTGTATTCAATATCCACCTATAGGATTTACACTATGAAACCTTATAAACTTACTTAAAGTGCATCATCAATCTCTAAACCGAGACATGGATTCTATCATTAATTAATATTTCACAAACACAATATATCTTTGCCCAATTCACCGAGAACATTATTCCAATAATGAAACTCACCCTTTAATGAATCAAAGCACAAGACAATCAATGTTTGCTCATATTAAAATAAATCAAGATTAAGAACGATAAACATTATTTCTAATGTCCTAGAGAAATGTGCATGCCAGCAGGTACAGGAGAGGAGATAGATAAATACATTCTTTGAATCAATTTGCATCCAAACCTCAGATTCATTGGAATCCGGTATCAGAATTGGTTGTGTATTTCTTTTTTAAGCTATGTTTCCATTCCAATATTTCCAATTAAATACAAAGAAATAATCGTCAATAGAAAATCATTCATAGCTATACTATTACATATGCATGGTTAATAGTATATCTCTATCAATTTCCCACTTAGACTCATAACCATGCATCAATAACTTTAACTCCCATTCCTTCTACATGACTGTTAAAAGCCTTTGCTGGTAAGCTTTTTGTAAAAGGATCTGCCAGGTTGTTTTCCGATGCAATCTTTGTCACTACCACATCTCCCCTTTGAACCATGTCTCGTATCAAATGATACTTCCTCTCAATGTGTTTTGCCCTTTTATGGCTCCGTGGCTCCTTTGGCTCCTTCGCAGTTTTGCAAACTGCCCCACTATATCACAATTAAAGTGTTAATAAGGCAATCTGCCACTGAAGGGCAATTGCACTGAAGAAACTACGCCTAGATCCATAAGGAAGTTCCTAAGCCATACAGCTTCCTTTGCAGCTTCAGAAGCTGCCACATATTCAACTTCCATGGTGGAGTCAGCAACACAAGTTTGCTTAATACTCCTCCAACTTATGGCTCCACCTCCCAAGACAAAAGCATTACCAGAGGTTGACTTCCGAGAGTCCTTATCAGTCTGAAAATCCGAATCTGTATACCCAATGGGTACAAGATCGTCAGATTGATAAACTAACCTATAATCCCTAGTCCTTTTCAAGTACTTGATAATATGCTTGACTGCAGTCCAGTGTTCTCGCCCAGGATTAGATTGAAATCTGCTAACCATGCCAACAGCAAAACAGATATCAGGTCTGAGTTTCTGGCCTACCACAACATTGCATACATAAGGCTTCCAACTGCAGGAAGCATATGGAACTGCCCTTTCATGTTCTCTATCTCCTCGGTGTCTTTAGGACATTGGTCCTTAGCATAGAAATTGGTCCTTAGATAGAGTGATTCCATGTCTGAAGGGAAGAAAACCCTTCTTGGAATCCTGCATGCTGAAACGAGCAAGAATGGTATCAATAAAAAGTGCTTGAGATAAGCCAATCATCCTTTTCTTGCGATCTCGCATAAGCTTAATCCTAAGAATATGAGCAGCCTCTCCCAAATCCTTCATATCAAAACGTTGGGACAGCCAATCTTTGACATTCAACATACCTACACAATTCCCTATAAGCAGAATATCATCCACATATAGTACCAGAAAAACAACCTTACTACCATTCCATTTCTTATACACTCAAGACTCATCATGACACTGATCAAAGCCAAAACTTTTAATCACTTGGTCAAAACAAGTATTCCATGACCTAGATGCTAGTTTAAACCCATAAATGGACCTATTCAATTTGCAAAGCAAATTTTCTTGTCCATTGTTTATGAAACCTTCTGGTTGCTTCATATAGATACATTCATCAAGACTTCCATTTAGGAAAGCTGTCTTGACATCCATTTGCCAAATCTCATAATCATTGCCAAATTCTCATTAATTCATAATGAGCTGCAATGGATAGAAGAGTTCTAATAGACTTACATGGCTACCGAGCGAAAAAAGGTTTTCCTTCATAATCGATCCCTTCTTTCTGATAAAACCCTTTCGCAACAAGCCTTGCCTTTATAAGTTTGCACTTTACCGTCTATACCCCTCTTTTTCTTATAGATCCACTTACATCCGATGGGTTTAACACCCTTCAGGTGGTTCTACAAGTTCCCAGACTTGATTAGAAGTACATGGACTCCATTTCTCAGATTTCATAGCTACAAGCCAACTTATCAGCATCTTTATCTTGTAGTGCTTCATTCGTTAACAGACAGGTTCCCAATATTTCACTTCTTCAGGGATTCTATCAAAAGCTTCTCCCAAAAGGTGTATATCGAAACCGTGTGGTCGTCTAATTCTCCCACTACGACGAAGTACTTCAGGTTTCTGCCAATCACACCTTCATTGCTGTGCTGTTAAAGCGGCACAGTCCATGAAACTGGTGGGACTACATCTTGATCATGTCTCTGGAAACTTCAAACATGTCTCGTCATCACCAGGAGGCAATTGAAATGTTTAGAAGCCCCAACATTGTGCTCCTGTATATTTTGGAATCAACAGCCTGCCACTTCAGTTTTCTACATAACTACCCCCACTACTTTCAGGTGGTAGTTGAAAATGTTAGGTACTGCAATATTCAGGACTTGATGTTGATTTACTGGTCGACTAACATTTTCTTCCACTACGACTAGGCAATGGAATGTCAAAGCTCCAACCATTTGATGGTTTAGGTTGTTGTTCTAATGGAAAGGTTCTAGTTGGTATATTTTCTCCTCTCAATTCATACAAGGCTAATTGACTTCTTGGAAATATGGTTTTTAAATATAGTTCTTCCTCAAAGATAATGTGCCCTTTTGTGCAGCATTGGTGCTAACAATGACCGTTTTATCTTGAGAACTATAAAATAAACCACCTTTCGTTCCTCTAGGATATCCAATAAAGAAGCATAAGTCTGTTTTTAATTCCAACTTATCTGCTTTCCCTTTCAGCACATGGGCTGGACAACCCCACATCCGAACATGTCTTAGACTTGGCTTTCGCCCAGTCCACAGTTCTGTAGGAGTTTTAGGTACTAACTTAGATGGAACCAAATTCAGAATATATGCTGCCGTTTCTATGGCATACCCCCAAAACGAAATGGGCAAATCTGAATAACTCATCATTGATCTAATCTGAATAACTCATCATTGATCTAACCATATCCATAAGCGTCCTATTTCTTCTTTCTGCTACACCATTATGTTGTAGCATACCAGGTGTAGACAACTGTGAAGTAATTCCTTATTCTGATAAATAAGTAATGAATATGAATTCCCTAGAGAGGTATTCGCCACCATGGTCAGACCGTAACGACTTGATATATTTTCCATGTCGTTTCTCCGTTTCTGCCTTGAACTCTTTGAATTTCTCAAAGCATTCAGACTTACGACGCAACAGGTAAATGTATCCATATCTTGAATAATCATCTGTGAAAGTCTCAAAATGCTCAAAACCACCCCTAGCTTGGACACTCACTGGACCACACAAATCAGAATGAATTAATTCAAGTACATCATTAGTTCTATTACCCTTTATAGGAAAAGGCCTCTTAGTCATTTTACCTTCTAAACAAATTAGACGCGCGTGTACCATTTATGGAAGACTATGATAATAAGTGGACTTATTTGTACGAGGATCACTGCAGAACAGCCGTTGTGAGGTAGTGCCCTCACGATTTGCTTCGCTCTCGAGATCTCAACGCTCGCCACTCAATGTGTCGACCTTGACCCAACCTAGAAATCCTATCTAAATTAATATGACCAAGCCTTAAATGCCAAAATAAGTATGACTAAATTCAACTAGGACGTTTTCTTTTCTTTTCAATGGAACAAATGACATCAAAGTTATTAACGTTCAGAATTAGGAATTTGCAATTCAAGGTTGAAACTTTGAGAATAAAAGATCATCAATCATTTGAGCCAGAACATGATATTTGTTTTCTAAATTTAATAAACGACAGAATTCATCATAAATTCATTAAAGAACAAAACGATATCCATTCTTGCTCCAATACTAGAAACTGAAATTAGAAATTCCTTCTAATTGAAGGTACATATAAAACATCCTTTCAAAAAACAAAGTTCTATTAATTTCTCAAAATTCAAAAAGAAACATTTCCTATAGCTAGAACTGCAACTTCCTGTGCCATCTCCAGAAAAATGCTTGCTTACATCTCCTTTATTTAGCTGACGAGTTACCTGAAACCCCTGCAATGAATTGCAGACATGATTAGTGGCTCCAGAATCTACACACCATTGGAGTATAGTCAACACCGCTAAACAAGTTTCAACTATCAGCACATAAAACAAAGACATACCTTGCTTCTTCTTGGCTAACCATGTTGGACATTGTGACTTCCAGTGCCCAGGTTGCTTGTAGTGAAAACACTTACCCTTAGGCTTTTTCACAGTAACACTTGCACTAGTAGATGCACCACTTGTTTTAGGCTTAGCCTTGTGAGCATTTTTCTTCTTCTTACCCTTATTCTGGGCAGAAGAAGAACCTCGCTCAACCCTCGCTCAACATTAAGGCCAACAGGTTGCAGCTCTTGCTTAATGATAGTCCTCCGCAGCACCAGCTCATTCAGCAAACTTAGACAGAGTGAAATCCATTCTTAATTCCATGTTCAAACGAAACTGCTGAAAACTGGCTGGCAAAGTGTTCAAGATCATTTCTATCTGTGTAGCATTGTCAACCTCAGCACCAAGAACCTCCATGTTATTCAGAAGACTCATCATCTTCAAGACATGAGTTCTAACTGGGGTCCCCTCCTCCATTTTGGAAGTAAGAATCTCCCTCAGTGCGTTTTGCCTTGCTGCACTAGTTTGATCTCCAAACATCTCCTTGAGATTTTCGAGCATGTCAAAAGCTGTGTCCATCGTCTGATGCTGATGTTGCAAAACATTTGGCACAGAAGCCAAAATGTAACATCGCGCCATCTCATCAGCTTTAACCCATTTCTGGTAAGCTCTGGTGACCTCCTCAGAGGCACCCTCACCGGGTTTTCCTGCCTGAGAGGCACCCCTCACTGGGTTTTTTCAAGGACAAAACTTTCAGTAAGCACAAACTTATACTCCTCAGAGTAAGCAAAATGTCCAAATTCCTCTTCCAGTCAACATAAGTTTTGGACCCTCAAAGTTTGTTTTGGGTTAAGAATGTTTTGCAAGGGGACCTGAAATGATGCCATTTTCCTATTTCTAATGCATTAAACAAAATAGCATACTCAAATAATAATACATTGAATAATCAAATTGCAAATTACTAACTTTGATATCACAATTCAAAAAAAAAAAATAACACCATTCAAACATTCATGAATGCCACCTCGATTGGGAGAATTCAACCAATCACATGTTTTTGCATATATAATTAGGATAAGACCGGAACATACTACTCGAGGAAGATACATGCTCTTAAATTAACCATTAATGTTGTGAGAAAATATTACATCTAATTCAATGTCCACAATTAATTTACCTCAGATGGAAGAGTTAAATTCAATACAGACAAAATTAGACTAGCTCAGTAATTATATTTAAAACATGACATCTTCCGATGGGGGAAAGAAATGGCAAAATAATTACAAAAACTAGAAAGTATAAAAAACCACTCACAAAATTAATTCATTAATTAAATTAAATTCATTATAATTCAAAATTGCAAAATAATATTTTTTAAGACATTTTGCAATAAAATTAACAATTTTTTGGTTGAAAATGTTAAAATTTAGTGTTCTGGTCTATTTATGCAAATAAATTAAAACATTATTGGGTTTTATCTTGCAAAAAACAGAAACATTCTCTGGGCCATTTCGCAATTTCAGAATTGTTTTGGGACTATTTTGCATAAACAGAAATATTGGGTCCAAAATTTGCCAAACATGAGAAACATCTAGGTCAATTTTAATAATACCAAGACAATCAGGGTCACCTTTATAATTTAAATAACTCCTGGGGGCCTAAACGGAATAACTGATACTTCTTGGGGTCCAAAAATATAAAAAATAAAGTTCACAGGGGTTAAAATATAATAAACAGAAAGAATCTAGGGTCAAAAAATAAAAAAACTTAAAGATAGGGGTCAAAATATAAAATTTAAACAATTGAAGGACCAGAAGGGAAATTCTGGCAAAGCAGCAGCTTCTTCCTTCACGAAGAAGCCCTAGCCGCCGCCCTTTTCCCTTCAAACCTGCATTACGCTGCTGGCCGGACTTTTTTTTTTTTTTTTTTTTTTTTTTTTCTTGCCCTTTACGATCTTCAAAAACAAAAATAAAATTTTGTGCTTTTCTTGCCCCTCTCCCTGTTCACGAAACAACACCCAAAATATATTATATATATATATGCTTTTTTTTTTTTTTTATTAATTGGCCCATTTAAAAACTAACAGTTTAAAAAAAATTTGTATCAGGTACTCGCATACTTTTGTGCTGCTTCCTTGCAAAAACTCTTGAAGCTCTCTATAACCAGTACCAATCAAACAATCAAACAGATAATAGATCACGATTTGAAACATGACAAATAGGCCACCATCAAATACAGTTTCGTATGGCTCTGATTACCAATTGAGCGGGTATAAAGCGGAAACAACCCTTATCGAAACCATATGAGGCAAACTAAAAACATTATCGAACAAATCAATAAACTGACCTCTTGAAGCACAAAATCGCTCACCGGTCTTCTTTCCAGATATCTTGGAGTCACCCACGATCTTCTGCAGTAATCCCTAACTATCTCTGTTTTGGAACTCTCTGAGTGGCAGAGAATAGAATAACGTGCGTATCTCTTTATTCTTAGCGTTTTGCAATCTTATATTAAAAAACCTCTCTTCGATAGGAAGATATTTTTTTAATATAAAATAAATTAAATAAAAAATTATTTAATTAAAAAAATAAATTATTTTTTAAAACTAAATAATTTATCTATTATTTTAATACACCTTAACTTTCCAAATAATTAGGGCACTAGCAGGGACCGCAGGAATAACAAATAAATAGGCTACTAATATATAATAAGAACCTATGTAAGACCCAACATATTCTTATTTAAATTAATCATGAATTATTCCACTAAAAACTCATGAACTGGAACTCCTTTATTTATTTTTACTATATCCTTCCACAACATAATAAAATAATGTTCCCCATGTTAAGATTACAGATGCTGTCATTTAAATAACTTACTGACAATTTATTTAAATCACAATATAACTTTATGTTTCTGAGAAGGATGCAATTATTTCATGTGTCGGATTCAAAATCCACCTGCAGGGTTTACACTATGAAACCTTATAAGCTTACTTAAAGTGCATCATCAATCTCTAAACCGAGACATTGATTCTATCATTAATTAATATTTCACAAACACAAAAAGCTTTGCCCAATTCACCGAGAATATTATTCCAATAATGAAACTCATCCTTTAATGAATCAAAGCATAAGACAATCAATGTTTGCTCATATTAAAATAAATCAAGATTAAGAACAATAAACATTATTTCTAATGTCTTAGAGAATATGTTTAACAGTCATTACTAAAATACATTCTTTGAATCAATTTGCATCCAAACCTCAGATTCATTGGAATCCGGTATCAGAATTGGTTGTGTATTTCTTTTTTAAGCTATGTTTCCATATGCAAAATTTTCCAATTAAATACAAAGAAATAATTGTCAATAGAAAATTCATTCATATGCTATACTATTATTATGGCATGGTTATAGTAATATCTCTTAATCAAATTGAACCTTGCAAATTCATCAAAAAGAGCTTCTGAATTAGAACAAATGTATGAATGAACATGCATGAATGGGTTTTATTGTTTAAGACATATCTGGAGCTCCAAGAGTCAAAATTAGCTCAGCCCAGGCCCATTTGAATCTTAGAAGATGGACCTACAGGTGCTGTGAAGACAACTAAATGAAGTGAGGTCGTTTTGATTGTCAAAAATGCCATAAAAGATCATGTTTTGAGCAGAAATATCTGCTTCAACCTGATCTGGTTTTTAGGTCGTATCTTCTGCTGTGAGTGTCCGTTTTGGGCTAGCCTTAGTTCGTTAGAAAGGTGAGAAGGAGATCTGCAAGTGATCTGCAAGTTTGTTGAAGAAGTCAGAATTAGATTCGAAAAGGAAGTTGCTGCAAAATGGGAGAGAAATCAGAATAATAAAGATTTCTGTTGACTGTTTATTTTTTTTCCCAAGTAATTAGAGATTCTTTGGGTCTTTTGAGAGGCTATATATAGTTGCAATTCTGGAGCAGCAGAGGCACGTTTTTCTTCTCTTAGTTCATCTATTAATCTAGGTTTTTGTTCTTTATTCTTTATTTTGGTGATTGGAAGCCATGATTATGAGTGGCTAATTTCTTTACACCAATTCAAGGGATTTATCATCCTTGCATTTTTGTGAGACTCGGGTTTTAAATGAGTAGTTCTTCTTGAATATCTGTTGTTTCTTGTTCTTATTGAGTTGATTCTATTGAATTCTTTGCTAAAATTGCTAAAAAGGCCTATTTAGTGAATTGTTTTTGGTAAGGAATTAAAGTGCTATTTCAGAATTTCATAATCCGTAATTAGTTATGAAAGTTTTGAATGTTAGTAAGCAATTTAGGTATTACTGATTCATATTTTTCAGGTTTTCAGTAATAATCTATAGATGACAATAGGGTTGATATTAAATGTTAAATGCTTTTATAAAATGTGTTGTTTCAAGTTAACTACTTCTTTGATTCTTAATACTTTTATTAAATTGTAAAGGGATTGCCGTAATACCGATCGTTTAATAATTAGGTTAATGAAGGGTGCTGGGCTCAAGTTAACGAAAATAGGGGGAGTTTTGGGAAAATTTATTATGCTTTTTGGTAAATTTTCAGTAAGTTATTCAAGGCAGTAATTAATCATAAAAGTTGCTGTGATCAATTGTGGCATTGGATTAGCAATCAACCTTGAATTGGTTTTTTCATCAATTTGCATTACTACTTTAGTTTAAATTAATTAATTTTCTTTTTGAACTGTTAGTTGAAATATTTTCACAAACAAACCCCCCTTCTTTTTTAAACAATTAAGATTTCAGTCTCTAAGGTTCGACCTGAATTCACCACTTCTACAGTTAAATTCAGTAATTTAAATTTGGTGGAACCGACAAACATCATGAGGACATAGGATGATTACTTCAATTTTAAATGATATAAATTGACCAAAATGATTTTTTGAATTTTATTTGATAATGCCTCTGCCAAAATTGCTAAATTGTTTATCTTAAAAATATTTGTGAACCCAATGTTAGTAGAAAATTTTTTCATATTAGATGTGCATTTCATGTTTTAAATTTATGTGCACAAGATGGTATAAAAGTTCTTAATTCAATTATTTCTCCAATTAAACAATCTATTTCATTTTATGGAGACATCCCTAAATAATAAAAAAATTGGGTTAAACATTGTAAGGAAAATAATAAAGGACCAAAACTTTTTCCAAGGGATGTCCCAACTCGTTGGAATTTAACATATAAATTATTAAATGAGCCTTTTGGATATAGATAATTATTGTGCATATTTTTTACTAATAATGTGATAGAAATTAACTTATATCCACAAAATTGGAAAATTTACAAAGGCTTTGGATATTTTAAAAATTTTTAATGATGCTACATATATTTTTAGTGAGTTTTATTATCATACATCTCATTTATTTTTTGCCTATATGCTTCAAGTATTTGAAAATGATGAATTACAAAAAAATTTTTTTTTTTTCAATGAAACAGAATTAGTTACATTATTTTAAAAATATTCCATCATTTTTCTCTGTGCTTGTATATTTGATGCTAGATGTAAATCTAACATTTTATGTGATTATTTCACTATTTATTATGAAATGTAAATTTATATATTAAATTTGTTCAATATTCTACTTCATCTACTTGTTCTGATTTTTTAAGTTCATAATTAATCATTGGCAACTAAAAAGGTAAGTGTTACTGAATATCTATTATCAGAAAGTAAAAAAAGACCTAGGGCATCCGGTTAGAGATGACAATGGGTAGGGGCTCAAGTCAGGTAGTACAATACTCATACACAAATCAATCACATCCTTAATTTTCATACTCTATCCAATACCCTATCGGGTAGGAAATATTATACTCATCCCAAAACTCAATGGGTTTGGATGTACCCACAGGTACCGAATATTCGTGTATATCTATGGGCATTTATTACTCAAGAATACCCATTTATTCACTAACTCATATTATTTAAAAAATAGAGTATATTGAATTAAAAAAAATTAAAGAATTTATCCAAATGATTTATATAATACATAAAAAATATGAAAGTAAATTAACACATAAATAAATGTTCGAACAATTATAAATTAAAAATTTAATTCCAAAGTTGTTCTATTTATCATAATACTTCACTCAAATATAATGAAAGTAGACTCTGCAAATGTAATTATAACAATAATCAATTAAAAGAATAACTAAAAAACTCATATAACAAAATCACCAAACATAAAATATTATCTGAACACTCCAAATCACTATTATCAATATGGTTTTCTCCATTGTTTGAAATTAAAATTTAAATCAAAAATTAAAAATTTAAATTTAAATTTCAAAATCTAAAGTTTTAAAAGTTTGACCAATTCAAACTAATATATGAAAACTAGAGTGAAGTTACTTTGCATTATACATTAAATTAAAAGTAAAATTGTAATTTACATAGATAATTTATTATAAGTAGCCCAATTTACTGAAAATTTCGTATTATAATTTTTTGAAAAATAAACCTCTTGAGGTTTGAATTTCGGGGATCGGGTTCGGTTTATAATAGCAATATTCATACCCTACTCATATACAAAATAAAACTTTCAAATTTTTGTCATACCTTACACAAATCCAGTCAAAACTCTAAAATTCGGATTTAACTGGGTTCGGGTTGGGGTGCATACCCATCGGGTAGGGTTGATATTTTCATCCTTGGATTCGATTTCGGTTCTACTCTGGAACTTGACAGTTATCTTAACGTTGTTTTCGAGTTTAGTGATACTTTTGCAGGTAACGATTTTTCAATTCTAGATTGATAGAATCATCATGCCTATACATTTTTCAATCCTCGTACTAATAGCAAAATAAGTTTTGGCAGCATCAGTCTCGACTATAGTGATTGAACAAGCTTTTAGTTTGGGGAAACATACTAGATGAAACACAATTTAGGATGACACTTCAATCAATAGAAGTACAATCATGATTAGATGATTAGAGTAAGACCGAACTAAGGGCACAATAGAATACCAAAGAATGAAGTGAAGGTTTATATGATTTTTTCAATGGTTCTCAATGGGTACATCCATCGGTGCAAGTAGCAACTAAGTGAGGTAAAAGGGGTGAAATTGATACAAGTTAAATCGGAACTACGTGGGTTTTGATTACTCTAAGTAATTTAATTTTTTCAAAATGAAAATTAATTGGAAGTCTTTTTTTTTAATTTTTTAAAAATTATTTCATAAATATTTAAATTTTAAATTTTGAATGAAAACTGTGGCTTATTTTTTTATTTTAAAATTACCAAAAAAACCAGTTGAAAAACCGTCAGAATCATTGATTTTGGAACCACCAGAAAACCAAAATCAGAACCATAATCAAATGATTTCAAAATCGAAACGTCAATTTTCGGTCATTCTACATTTTTTGGAACGGAAAGGGTCGGGTTTAGTATGGAAGGGTAGTTCCGGAACTGTGGCCACCTTATAATTCCTTCCCTCGGTGCACATCCTAACACTGAAGCAGTTTCAAACGAACTCATTAATTGTCGTTCAATTTAGTGTAAGTGGCGCAGCTAAAGTTCACTGACCGCTAAATCTCTCCCTCTCTAATTTTCTCAAACATACGCTCTGTTATTCTATCCCGAACAAGAAATGGCGTTGTTTGCCAAACTATACAGGTCATCTTCCGTTATCAAGGCCCATTATCTCCATCACTGCCTCCGCTCCATGAGCAATGTGCCGGAAAACACTGTCTACGGCGGACCAAAGTCCCAAAACCCTAACGAGAGAGTTACTCTAACTCAATTGAAGCAAAAGCACAAGAAAGGTGAGCCCATAACTGTCGTCACAGCCTACGATTATCCCTCTGCAGTGCACCTCGATCAAGCTGGCATTGATATTTGCTTAGTCGGAGATTCAGCCGCTATGGTCGTTCACGGTCATGATACCACTCTGCCTATATCTCTGGAGGAGATGCTTGTCCATTGCCGTGCTGTTGCTCGCGGCGCCAAGAGGCCCCTTCTCGTCGGTGACTTGCCTTTTGGCACCTATGAGTCCAGCACCAAGCAGGTAAGATTAGAAATTGCAGATATCATAGAGAATTTTTTGAATGTGTGGAATGATTGGTGATGTCGCATTTTGGATTATGAACAGGCGGTGGATACAGCTGTACGGGTTTTGAAGGAAGGAGGAATGGATGCGATTAAATTGGAAGGAGGTTCACCTTCCCGAATTACAGCTGCCAAAGCCATAGTGGAAGCTGGAATTGCAGTTATGGGTCATGTAGGACTCACTCCTCAGGCAATCAGTGTTCTTGGGGGATTCAGGCCTCAAGGAAAGAATATTTCCAGCGCAGTCAAGGTATGTGTTTTGTGTATAATTGTGTAAATTTTTAATCGACTGCTTATGTGTTTTGAATTGGTTTTGCCTTGTGCAGGTTGTGGAGACTTCTTTGGCTTTGCAGGAAGTGGGGTGTTTTTCTGTTGTTTTGGAATGTGTACCTGCACCTGTGGCTGCTGCTGCTACATCTGCTCTTCGAATTCCCACCATTGGCATTGGCGCAGGGCCTTTCTGCAGTGGGCAGGTTTCTATAGATACTTGCTCTCTTTATTTAGCGCATGTGTTTCTTTGTCTGTTAGATGGTACTATGGTAGGGTTATTGGGTTTGATTATAATAATGTCAACAGTTAGGTGCTGGTTGTTTTAAAACTTTCTAATTTAGAAATTTAGAAATAGACAAATTTATTTCCATTTGTATTGGATTAATCCTATTCCTATTTGTACCGGATTTCCCTATTTTTATTTTTTATAGGCATTTCCCGGTTATATGTGCATATATAAGCAATTCTTGTTCAAAACATGCTATGGCTTTGAAAAATCATATCAATGAAATGTTCAAACACAACTAGACAAGTGAAAAGCAACTGTTATTATGAAATGCAGCAGCATATGGGGATCGAGCGACCATAAAACTTCAACTTGCATTAGTAAATTCTAATATTGTTGTAGAGTTAAAGAATAGAAAAGGAAAGAAATTGTCAATTGCCTCAGCAGAGAACATACGGGATGAAAGAAACAGTACTGCATGAATTTCTTGTTTCATTCTCTAAACTGATGTGAATATGTAAATAGATACAGAAAGAAAAACCACAGTTTGCACCTATGTTCAGAGAAACACTAGAATATAGCATCAGCCTTGCAGCAATCAAAATTATCTGAACTGGTGTCATATGCAGGCTGCTTGGTTGGGAGGGTCTTATGCCTAAAATCTTCACTTGGATAGTCGCAGAGCATTTTATTATAAATAATTTATTTTGAGGATCTGATTCTGAACTCACACACTTGAAATATATTAAATTTCTATGTTCTTCAAATGATTTACAATAAGGAAAAAGTGGTTGTGATTCATTTTCCGACACAACTTAACATGGGTCTCTTAATAGAATAGTTGAGAGTTGTGCATAATCTCTCAACTGATTTTCTGCTTGTATGCTCATATTGACTAAGGAAGCTTGAATTGTATTATGTTGCACCTTATTGACTATGCAGGTGTTAGTTTACCATGACCTTCTAGGAATGTTGCAGCACCCACATCATGCCAAGGTTACTGCCACAATGACCACTGTTGTTTGTTGGTTCTTTCCTATCTCTGATGTTTTTACTAAAAGAGGATTACTTTACCTTCTATAGGTTACTCCAAAGTTTTGTAAGCAGTATGCGCAAGTGGGAGATGTCATAAACAAAGCTCTGCTTGAATACAAAGAAGAAGTAACAAACAGTTCATTCCCAGGTCCTGCCCACAGCCCATATAAAATCAATGCAGCTGATATAAATGGTTTATTGAATGAACTTCAAAAGTTAGGTCTAAACAAGGCCGCATCAGCAGCAGCTGCAGCAGCTGAGAAGATCAAAACATCTGAATCATTGGCTGGATCTGGTCCGGCAAATGATTGAATATGGGCCAATTCAACGAATCTGCCTCTTCTTGGCATACCAAAAATAAGGCCCAAGTAATGGACTTTTATCTAAATTCTGTCATATATTTACAATTGTGATGAGTTTTTTGCTTGGTATGACTGATGATTATTTAACAAGGATGCAGGAATTTATTTATTTATTTATTTATTTTTTTTTTTTTTTTTTTTTTTTTTTTTTTTTTTTTTTTTTTTTTGTGGATTGGACAGATAGATAGGTTAAAGGAGAAATTAAAAAAAGGACGAGGTGCATAATCTGGAAATGAAGATGAAAGGCTCGCAAGAGGAAGCTATGTACCAGAAGTTGAGGAGTGAGCTGCTGCATAAGTTGGCTGTATTAGAAAACTAGAATAATATCTTTTATTTGAAATCAGTTTCTATCTTTCTGTTTGTAATTAGTTATTTTGTTTCCTTGTATTGTGTGTATCCTTTTATTAGATAGGTTTAGGTCAACCTAATCTATTGCATATGCTCAATAATTCTTTTTTAATGTTAGAGATGTTATAAAATAATGTAAAACTAGAGAGATAAATAACGGGAGAATAGAAAGACTAGAGAGAAATAGTGTTTATTATTGATGAGAAGTCACATATACATAGTTACATTAGTTACATAAGTGGAACGCTATAATTAAGAATACAAACTTCTAATCTATATAGAACATTCACTTATTTCATAACACTCTCTTTGAAATATTATCATTAAAAACCTTTATCAAGAAAATCTAATGGGACAAAAAGCTTTGGTTAAAGGGAAAAGGCGTGCAGTGTATATTTATTTTCCCTTATGAAAATAAATCTTGAGATATTTGAGTTTGTGCAATTCAATTTTGTGCGTCAATTCTTCAAAATTTGTGGTAGAAAACTTGTAATAGAAATAGAAAGTAAGTTGATGAGCAAATATACAATATCGTCACTTGAGTGGTTTAACTTCAAGATCATCATTCTTTTGTAGATCATGAGCGAAGAAGAATTTTTGTAAAATGTAATCTTCTTATTTTCTTAAATATATCATTCCTTCAAGGGAGATGAGTGTACGAAATATTATTTGTGATATTGTAGGAATTTTTTCTCTAGAGAAGTAGATTGCACGTACTATGAACAAACACATTTTTGTCATTCTTCATGAGTTGCTCAAATATCTGCATGGCTAAAAGTAGTTGGAGCAATGCTTCATCCCTTGAATGCAAAGAAATAATTGTACCTTCACATGCAAATGAACGGCTTGATTATGATCTAACATAATGTTGATTACACAAGTAACTTACATTTTCATGGCCGATCAAAACTGATTTTGACATGTTAATTATAATATAACTCATATATATCTTGTCATGGAGATATCAAAATATATGTTTAACTCCATTTAATTTCTTCATATCTAGGAAGAACTATATCTTGTTAATAAAATTTATAAAGATCAAGTCTAAGTATGAGTAGCAAGATACATTAGCGTCATTATTGCACTGAGATATGGTACTGCAGGATCAAGAGTTCTTCATAATTTTCTCGAAGTGAAAAATGGTCATCTTCTCATCAAGTGCTATTATCCACATAAAATCATTTGAATAACTTAGTCATATATATGGATTCATAAGTAAAATTTCATTTATGAAATGCTCGATCTTCAGACCGAGATAAAACTTTATATTTTCAATGTATTTCATCTCTAACTCTACCTTTAAGAAATTTATAATCTTTGGAAGCTCTTCAAGAGTTCCGATAATATTCATAAACCAAATAATGGCAAATTTATATTCAAAAAATTTATGATCATATAATAATATTATTAAAATATCCTTTCAACGTATATTAGCTAATTAAGAGATCATCTTACTCGTGATAGTGTATAAAGTAATTGTCAAAAGTATAGTTTTAATAATAAAATATTATAAAAAGAATATACTCATAAAATAATATAATATTTTCTTGGCAATAAACATCATTAAGGCAATTATACCATATGTATTAAGATTTCTTTAATCCATATAGAAATCTTGTATATATTTCTCAGGTCTTGATTTGCTTGCTTCAAGCATTTTTTCAGTATTTGAAGGATATCATTATCCAATAATCTATATAGAGCTCTATAATATTAGTTCAATAAATTCTCAAGAATTTAACTTTATGTTTCAAGCAACTAGAATCCTTCAGGAATTTTCATATAGATATCATTCTCAAGAATTTAACTTTATGTTTCAAGCAACAGAATCCTTCAGGAATTTTCATATAGATATCTACATCAAGTTAGCCATATAAATAGGCAAGCATTAAATTCATTAGATGCATTTAGATTTTCATAAATTGCGAGATGCATTTAGAATTTTCATAAATTGCCATACTAATTAAATATCAAATTACAATTGGATCCACTGTATGAGGGTATTTATCCTCATAATCAATGCCAATTTTTTATAAAAAAACATGTGCAACAAATTTGCTTTATATCTCGCGACCCATTTCAATTTCGAACATTCTGATATTATAATAGAGCTTGAGGGAATATGAGATTCTCTTGTTATGAAATAAGTGGATGTCCAGAAGTCTGTATTCTTAATTATTGCGAACTCTATACTCTATCTTTCTGATTTGTGTAAGACTCTAATAGAGTTCCACTTATGTAACTATATATATGTGGTTTCTCATTAATAACAAATACACTATCGTATTTCTCCATACTCTTTCTATTCTCCTTTTATTTCTCTCTCTAGTTTTACATTATTTTATAACACGTTATCACATTTTCGTTCTACTGCTATTTTGATCAAATCGCCTCTTGTACCTGAAAGGTTTCTTATTTGCGACAACAATTGAAGGTATGGTATATATGACAACGATTTTCTTCTTTCATTAATATATCCAAGATATAATTAATATTTGTTTAGCATATTTGCTAAACACATCATTAAGCATTAGCAAATCTGTCATCTCAGTTGTTTTTTTATTAAATGATATGTATGACTAAAACAATTGAAGAACTACGATAAGTCCTTTTGAGTATTCATTAATAATATTATCATATTTATTTTACTTAGATCGATGCACTTTTTGGAGTACACTGCATATGAATATTTGTCTTAACGAAATTCGTTTTGATGTTTTTATTTGTTGATAACTTTTATATCATTTATTTTATAATTTATTATATAATTAATTTTATACATTAATTCTTGTGGGTATAAATCTTAATTAATTTTTCTATGATCTTATTCTTTAATATGATTACTTTATTTTATTAGAATAATTTTCATGATGTTAAATTTTACAAATCTTAAATTTATACCATTCTGTATTAGGGGCAAGAATTATTTATTATGAATTTAAGATGATGAAAAATATTTATATGTAATGGATCTTAGAGACACCATCAAAGGAGGAAAGTAAAAAAATCTAATCAAAATAGTTCCAAAGGCAATAATTTTATTCTATTGAATATTTAATAATTAAATATCCATTTGTTTTTTGGAATGGTTTGAAAAAAAGGTACAATTACTAAAGGTTTATTATGAATGGATGCATTTATTGGTGCAAAGCTCGTAAAACTGTAAGTAATTATAATTCTGCAGTATTAAGGTTATTGTTTTATTATTATAATTGTTGCTATATATTAATATATATTATGTTATTGTTTTATTATTATAATTGTTGCTATATATTAATATATATTATCAATATGGATTATTTTATTATTGTTATATATTAGTATATATTATTTATGGGGTACAAATTTTGATAATTGATTTATTTTAAATATAATTAAGATATTGTTGTTATTATGTTTAGAACTTATATTAGCTCTTAATCTAGAATTATTAATGATATTTGTACCTCGAATATGCTCCTGAAGTAGCAATATCGAGAGAAAAAGTTTTATGATAAACTTTGGATTTAATTCATGTCCTTTTATTATTGAGCTCCTATTTACTATCATGAAGTATGTCCAATTAGATTTTCTCCATTCCTTGAAGTGAATGGAATGACATATAATACTGGACATGGGAGTAGTGAAATCCACCCAACTAGATTTGATACATATTAATATATGATATTGGGTGTGGACATAAACAATGAAAAAGATATACATATTACTAAGAATATTAATGGTCTTAGCAATTATGATGGCCACATAATTAAGAATAAATTTGACCACCAAAAGTGGTACAAATAATATAACATATATGGATATTGGTTATGTACTTGGTGTACACTAAAATATTGAAAGACAAATTTGGCTTTGGTAGTAAAAGAATATTTAAAGGTTCTGGAAGAGCAAGTATTGTTATCTAGAGGAATGAATTTTATGCATAATGTATTATACGAAAGATATTCATTAAAATAGACATCATATAGAGATAATAATTGAAATAAATATGATTGTAAACTAGAAGTTTACAAATTCAAGTACTTTTTTATTTGGCACGACTGATTGGACCATCCCGATCAATAATGATGTGAAAATGAAAATTTAATCCTTATATAAATATTTATTGAAGAATCAGAAGTTTCTTCAACTCTAATGAATTTTTCATGTTTAGTTTCTTTTCAAATCAAATTAATTATTGAGCAATTACCAAGAGTTCAAATCAAACTGCTTGCATTTTTTGGAATGTATAAGTAAAATTATTGGTCAATTCATCTATCATGTGGATTATTTAGATATTTTGTGGATGCATCCAAAAGAAAGTTACATGATTATTAATTTGCAACCAGCAGTTTACAAATACTATTAACTTGCAACCTGAAGTTTGCAAAACTATTTGCGCAAATAATTTAATTGAGCACATAATTTTCAGATTATGCTATTAAGATAATTTATCTTGAGAATGATGTTGAATTTACACAATAGCCTTTAATGATTATGACATGTGTTAATTGAAATAATTTAGAGCAACTTGTTTTTCTTTTATTTATGCTCAAAAATGATTTAGTAGAATCATTTATAAATAATTACAATTAATTGCAAGACAATTATTATGAGAACGAATCTCTCTATTTTTATAGGGACATGCTATTAAATTGAATAGCACTTACTCGCATTAAGCCAATAAGTTATTATAAGTTCTCCCCTTTATAATTGGTTTTTGGATCAGAAACCAAAAATTACCCATTAAGGATTTTTTAAATGTGCGGTATATGTTCTCATTGCTCCAGCACAATGCATTAAGATGGGTCTGTTGGCTCAAGGGTCAATTTTTATCTCGATATTTTGATGATTAAAGCAAAACAAATAAATTTAATTATTTTATTTCTGCTAATATTATTTTATGCAGATTTAAATATGGAAAATAATAAACAAAGCAAAATCCTATAAATCCAAGGATAATCGAAGATTATGAAGACCATTGAAGATTTTAGTGGTTAAATCGAAGATTATGAAGACCATTGAAGATTTTAGTGGTTAGCTCTTTAGGATTTGTTGTAGGATAGAGAGAGTGTTCATCTATAAGCACAAAAATAATTATTCTCTCTTTATCAAAAATATTTTCGAAAATGTTTCCTTAAAAGTCAAAGTTTTCTTTCTTTAATTCTCTTT